GATGAAGTAAAACAGCTGAACAGAAGATTTCAAAGGGTGGCTCGAGAAGACAAAGTAAAGTATTACAATGAAATGTGCAAAGACCTGGGGTTGGAAAACAAAGGGGAAGAACATGCTCGGCATTTCTCAAGCTGAAAGAACTGAAGAAAAAAAGTCAGGTTTTGAGTTGCAATATTGAAGGATTCTATGGGCAAAAAATTGAATGACATAGAAAGCATCAAAAGTAGATGGAAGGAATATGGAGTAACATTGTACCAAAAAGAATTGGTCAACATTCACCCATTTCAGGAGGCAGCATATGATCAAGAACCAATGGTACTGAAGGAAGAAGTCGGAGCTGCACTGAAGGAATTGGCAAAAAGCAAGACTCCAGGAATTGACAGAATACCAATTGAGATGTTTCAACAAACTGATGCAATGCTGGAAGCACTCACTCATCTACGTCAAGAAATTTGGAAGACAGCTACCTGGCCAACCTGGAAGAGATCCATATATGTACCCATTCCAAAGAAAGGTGATCAAATGGAATGTGGAAATTATTGAGCAATATCATTAATATCACAAGCAAGTAAAATCATGCTGAAGATAATTAAAAAATGGTTGCAGCAGTACATGGACAAGGTACTGCCAGAAATTCAAGCCAGATTCAGAAGAGGATGTGGAACAAGGGATATCATTGCTGATGTCAGATGGATCTTGGCTGAAAACAGAGACTACCATAAACATATGCACCTGAGTTTTATTGACTATGCAAAGGCATTCAACTGTGTGGATCATACCAAATCATGGATAACATTGCGAAGAATGAGAATTCCAGAACACTTAATTGTGTTCGTAGATCAAGAGGCAGTCATTTAAACAGAACAAGGGGATACTGCATGTTTTAAAATCAGGAAAAGTGTGTGTCAGGGTTGTATCCTTTCACCATATTTATTCAATCTGTATGCTGAGCAAATATATCCAAGAAGCTGTACTATATGAAGAAGCATGTGGCATCAGGATTGGAGGAAGACTAATAAACAACCTGCAATATGCAGGTGACACAGCCTCACTTGCTGAAAGCGAAGAGGACTTGAAGCACTTACTGATAAATGGATTACACTTCAACATAAAAAAACAAAAATCCCCACAACTGTACCAATAAGCAACATCATGATAAACAGAGAAAATATCGAAGTTGTAAAAGATTTCATTTTACTTTGATCCACAATCAATGCCCATGGAAGCAGCAGTCAAGAAATCAAATGACTTATTGCACTGGGCAAACAAACCAGCTGCAAAAGACTTTTTTAAAGGTTCAAAAGCAAAGATGTCACCTTGAAGACTAAGGTGCTTCTGACCCAAGCCATGGTATTTTCCATCACCTCATATGCATGTGAAAGCTGGACAATGAATAAGGAAGCCCAAAGAAGAATCTATGCCTTTGAATTATGGTGTTGGCAAAGAATATTGAAAATACCATGGACTACCAGTAGAATGAACAAATCTGTCTTGGAAGAAGTGCAGCTAGAATGCTTCTTAGAAGCAAGGATGACGAGACTTAGTCTGATGTACTTTGCACATGTTATCAGGAGGGATCAATCCCTGGAGAAGGACCTCATGCTTGGTAAAACAGAGGGTCAGTGAAAAAGAGCAAGATCCTCAATGAGATGGATTGACACAGTGACTGCAACAATGGGCTCAAACAGCAATGCTTGTGTGGGGCACAGGACCAGGCAGCAGTGGTTCCTTCCGTTGTACATAGGGTTGCTATCAGTCAGAACCCACTCCACGACACCTGACGACAACAACAACAAATATACATATAATGGAGTTCAAGGTGAAAGGGAGGGCAAGAAGCTGATGGTGGGATTAATTCTAATTTGCATCTGTGTAATGCTTTACATTTACCAAGCATTTCACACATGGGATTTGATTCCATCCTCATATCAACCCTGTGAAGTAGAGTCAGGAAAGGCTTTATCTCTTTTTCATAGGGAGTCAATTGAGACTAGGCTTGAGATACTCTCCAAGCTCACTCAGATAGGAGGTGATAGAGACTCCATAAATATGTTTGATAAATTAAGTGCATACTCTTGGCTGAGCGTTGTACTTGGTGGTGTGGTGGCATGCAAAAAAGAGAGAAAGTCACTCATTTCTATTTCCATGTAGCCTTCAGTCTGGGCTCAGGGAGATCAAATGCAGTGTGATTTATCTAGTGTGATTTATCTTCTAAACAGTGTGAGACTGTTTACTACATTTGCAAAGCAACATATTGGTAAAAGTGAATAAATTTAGCCCATAAGTACTCAGGAGGCAAAAAGTAAAAATGTCATTAAAGCAAAGTAGGACTAACAGGTGTATTAGGGCTCCTCTGGTGGTAAGAGGTTCATAGATCAAACTGACTTTAGTACAAAAGAACATTCACCAGCTCACAGACCTGACAAAGATTTTTAAACATCTAAAAAAATAAGCCTTTGGGGTTTAAGCAGTGTCACCAGGAATCTATGTTTTTCTCTGGCTTAGTTTTATTCCCAGGTGGGTTCTTGGCATGTGTTGGTAATCTGGCCACAGACACTCCTGCTAGATCTACAGACTCAGCCCTCCCATTGGGAAAAGAAAGCACCTCTTTGCTGGTGCCACCAGCAAAGTCAAGCTCTCCAAGAGAACTTTGAGTTCTGTGCTTGTCTCTGAACCAGTCACTGTGGCTAAGGGATTACTGTACTCTAATACGCCAGGCTTAGGTCACATGCTCACTCTTGGGTAGGGGTGGAGTAAGCCCCACCAGAATAGTTTGGGGGGGGCAGTGGCGGGGAAGCAAGGAGGAAAGGTTGGTTTCCCAGAAGAAAACAGAGATTTCCCTGCTAGAAGGCAGATTGGATGTCAGGAGTGCAAGACAAGTGCTCATTATAACAGGATAAGATTCCTGAAAAAAATAATCGTGTTACAAATTTTGAAGGAGGTATTTGAGTTCGTTTGTAATCCTATGAAATTCTGTGCTGGTTGAAAGTCAGAATGACTGGAAGGCAACTGTCTGAGGCTGGGTTCTCTAGAGACGCAAAACCAGTAAAGCATATAAATATGTATATATAGAGAGATTTATCTCAAGGAAACGGCTCATGTGGTTGTAGAGACTGTAATATTCCAAGTCTGTGAGTCAGGATAGAGGCTTCTCCTGATTCACGTAGCCACAGGGGCTGGCAAACCCAAGATTGGCAGGTCAGAGAGCAGGGCTCTTGCTCAGAGGCTGCGAAGATCAATGAATCCCAAGATAGGCAGGCAAGACCGCTGGTAAGATGCTACCTCAAGTTCCAAGAACTGGAGGTCATATGAACAGGAGCCAGCTGAAGGATTCAATGCTAGCAAAAAGCCCCCAAGCCTTGCCAGAATGTCTGCTTGTATTCTATGCAGGCCACACGCCTAAGGAAACTCCCTTTCAACTGATTGGCTACTCACAGCAGATCTCATCATGGTAGTAATCACATATCAAATCTCAACATGGAAGTGATCACATTATACGACTGCCAAAACACTGAGAATCATGGCCCAGCCAAGCTGACACAGTAGCTTCACCATTACAGCAACTATCAACAACAAAGAGTTGGTACAGGCGTACCCCGCAGAACATTTATTTGGTTTTATACTTAACATTTCCTTTCCTTTAAGTCTTACAGAAGGAGCCTGGGTAGGGCAATGGTTAAGTCTTGGATGCTAATTGGAAGGTTGGCAGTTCAAAGCCACCCAGTGGCTCTGCAGAAGAAAGACCTGGAGATGTGCTTCCATAAAAATTATAGCCTAGAAAACCCTATGGGGGCAGTTCTACTCTGTCACATTGGATCACTAGGTCAAAATCAATGACATACAACTACAACAAGTCTCATAGACAATATTTCTTCATGAACGGGTCCCTTAGTTGAGACTCATCATCTCCTTATGAATTGTACTGCCTCTGGTCTCCACCCTGCTGAAGCCAGAGGTCTGGGTGGGGACTAAGCAATACATGGCATATATAGAGAAAGGATAACCCCCAAAGACAGCCTTTCAGACTCCCTCTCAGCTACTCACTGGCTGTTTGCAAAACTTCCCCCCCCTTTAAAGCTACATTTAACTAACTGGTTGCTATTGAGTTGATTCTGAATTCATAATGACCCCATGTGTTGCAGAGTAGAACTGCACTCCATAGGGTTTTCAATAGCTGCTTTTTCAGAAGCTGGTCACCAGGCCTTTCTTCTGAGGTGCCTCCAAGTGGGTTCGAACTGCCGACTTTTCAGTTAGCAGTTGAGCATTTAACCGTTTGCACCACCCAGGGACTCCTAGGCTGCGTTTAATAACCTAATAATAACCTGTTACTGAAGAGGCAAGAGAAAGTCCCCAGCTCTCCCCACTCCCATTCCCTCACCAACCCAAGGTTGACCCTCTCCTCTTTTCAGGTTTGCATTTTCTCTTTTCACAGAGCCTTTCAACCGGAAAAAAATTCCCTCTACTCTCTATTGTTTCAACAATTCTTCATCCCATTCTCTTATTTCTGCCTCTTACCAATTGCATCCGTCTGCCCAGTAGCTATGCCACCCTCCCGTGTGACATTGAATTTTGGAGAATGGTGACACGTTGCAAAGTCCTGATCTAGAAGGAGAACACCCCACTTCCTGCTCCTCCAGCGTCCTTTATCTCTCCAGGCCCCCTCCGTAGCTCTGAAGCCAGGATGGTAAGATTCCCAGAGGAGAGCGTTTGCAAAGTCCTCTGCGTGCTTTGATAAAATTGATGATGTAAATGGAGACATTTCTTGCAACTGCTCTAGCCTACAAGAAAAAAAAGGAGTTGTGTAAATGTAATGACTCACCATTTAACGAATAATGAAGATCCTTTGTAATTTTAAATATTATTTCACAAGAGTTTTTTTTCCAGAAGTAAAAACTAGAATGCTTGATTTGAAATGTTTAAAAAATAAATACTTCTTGATATCTTTAACACAGCACTTTCATTATCAATGACTGATATAATATTTTGTTTAATGTTTCTAGCTTCTCTCCTAAAGGGTTTGAAACATGCCAATATTGTGCTCCTGCATGACATAGTCCACACTAAAGAGACACTTACATTCGTTTTTGAATACATGGTGAGTTGCTCCAGTATTTTACAAAGTATAAGGAAAAATGCTGGTGCTTATATAATGAATCTGTTAATATTTTATGGCATGATAAAACTTTCATTACAATGTGGAAGGTATCATGGATGATTACATTATTATAGTTAGTAGAGCCTTACTGTTTTTGCCCCAACTCTGTAGTCCTGCTTCTTTACCTACCACTTTTGCTATCCCCTTCCCCCTCATCAACAATAATAAATATTTTGAGTTTGCATCCTAAATAAGACTTTTGTATTTTAAAATCTATTTTGAATCACTGTCTGAGCAGAACTCAACATCTTTTCAATTAGCAATGAAGACATAAGTCACAGAGTTTTTTGTTTTTGTCTTTGTTTTTTAAATTGTGTATAAGCTTACCAAAGAACAATTCATTTTGTATTTTTGAGAAGAAAAAAATATTCAAATAAGCAGAAAGATATCATAAGGTTCTGTGTACTTGACTTGCCACCAAGGACACTTGGAGTGTGAAAAAACACCAGTGTCATTGTGTTCGGTGGCAGCCATTTAAAATAAGCATCTCTGTGCCCAGAAACAGGCTTCCTTCTAACAGCAGCCACGTTAGAAAGACACATCATGGCTGCCCTCAGCAGTCGAGTCTCAGAAAACCTGGTTATGTTCCTTTTGCACCTTATTGTCAAAAATTCTGAGCTTCATAATACCTTCTAACAGTCAAGTCTATGTTCTGCTTTAGGATGACTATCCAAGCACACTAACTTCACTCTCTCTTCTCTTTCTCTACCATTTTGTTTAGCACACAGATCTGGCCCAGTATATGTCTCAGCATCCAGGAGGGCTTCACCCTCACAATGTCAGGGTGAGTATTTAAGGGTTAGGACTCTCTTATATATTAGCAGAAGAATTTTGAAACAGACAGCCATCACAATGTTCCACAGTGCTAAATAAGAAGATGGACGTCATTGATATTCTAGAGAGAAGTTAAACATAAAATAAGTTTCTCCTTCAAGATACAGAACAACATCTAGTTCTCTGAACAGCCTAACTCTGTGTGTCAGTCATTGCCATCATGCAGTTGTATCTTTAGAAGTATAAACCAATTAAAGAGAATTACATCAAAAGGAAAGAAGTGAAGCTAGGTCATCATAAAATAAGTGCTTTCTGCATGGCAGACTACTGTGATAAATTTAGCATAATACTTCTTATAGTTCCCCGCTAGAATGAGCAAACAAACTACCTTTGTTGGATCTTAACCAGTCACTCTTTTACCTGTCCTATCAGTTCCTATTATACATATGGGACCAACTTCCATTTTTCCAGGCACTGGGATAGAAATAATAATAAACTCTTAACTAGCTGGGTTTACATATCTGTTATAATTTTTAGATACTATTTGTATTTCATACTTTTCATCCCCTAAGGTTTTACTGGCATTGATTAATTAACTGGCTTTTAAAATAACCATGAGATTTGTATATGATATGTTCATTCATTTAACGAATATTTATTTATGTATTCGCTTATTCATTCAAGAAGTATTTATTGAGTACTTTGTACTATATTCAGTTCTATGGTTTCAACAAAGAATAAGTTGTGTTTCTTTTTTTCAATAAGTTTAGTAAGATAAACTTAGTGAACAATAAGTCCAGTAGGAGATATGGACAATTAAGTGGCAGTGAGAAGCAAAGCAAACTAATCGTTATGACCATGTTAAGTATGAATTCTATGGGAACACATAGTAGGTGGACCTAACCCAGTCTTAGAGGCAGGCGACAAAAGGAATGTTTGAGAGATGGGGGTTGAGGAGAGTGAAAAAATATTAAAATAGCTAAATGGACAATGGGAGACAGAGTTAATTGGGGAAACTAAAAAGGAATGTCTTGCAGTGTGGTTAAGGACCCATTCAATTATCTGCATGATCATGGGATTTCTTTTTATGGAAGTGCTTAGCAATTCAAATAGAGGAGCAGAGAAAGTAGACAGTTGTATTAATCCAGAGTTGGGGTTTTGCCAGATACATACGAGGGAAAGATAGTTGGGCAAGAAAGTTGAGGAGATTGTCAAGAGAGCAGTTAAAGTGATAGTCAGTGGCTTCTAACCTGAGTCTAATCTGAAGGAAGGAAGTGAAGATAGACAACTTGCTGATAGCTAGGGAGAGAGTAGAAGGGTCAAGGAATGAGAGGTGTTGATTAAATAGAAGAACAGTTGAAGAAAGAAGAACTGTGAGAAAGATTGAGAGCAGGTTTTCAGGCTTTAGTGACTATCACATACCAGAGACTGTGCTAAATGCTTAGAAGGATCAAAAGACATATAAGTCATGATTCCTGTTCTCAAGGGACTCACAACCAAAAACAGGAGATATGAAATTACATCAACACACTAATACTGCACAGGACATTTGTGAATAATGACAAGTAAGAAATAAGAGCAGTACTGTAGATGTGCAAAGAAGTCAGATCTCTTCTAATCTTAAGGGGTTTCATTAAGCCAGGCCTTAAAAGATGAATTGCATTTCAAAAGGCTGGAATAGGGGAATGTGTTACAGGAAGACAGAAAGTCTTCAGCCAAGGTTCAGAGAAGGGAAGTAGAGAATGTGTTCCAGGAAGAGGATCCCAGAGTCAGGGACTGTTAGGGTTAGGAAAAAAACGATGTTTTTCAATCTGCAGGTTCTAACCTATTAGTGAGTTATGAATTTGATTTGGTGGTTAGCAACCAGCATTTTAAAAAAACAAAATACAATGAATGAGCAGAAAACAGAACATACTAGAGTGCATCACACTTAGTAAGAGTAAGTACTGTATTATTTTGTGCAAATTTTGTTCCAGTTGCAACTGTACTTACGCTTATGGATAGATGTGAATACTAAATATATATGTATTTCTTACTATGGGTTACAGTAAAAACAAAAAACCTTGAAAAACACTGGGCTTGTCTAACTTCTTTACTTTGCAAAAGAAGAAACAAAGTTTGAGAGGACAAATATTTTGCCTGAGGTTATAGAACCAGACTTTGTCATTGCTAAAAGTGACTCTTGGTTAAGATTCCTCTTCACTAATGCCATACTGTGTCTCTGGTCTGTTAGGCTGAAACACAGAGTTTATTAGTGAAAACAGGGTGCATAAGTCTAGCGAAACAGTCTGGGCAAGTGGCTGACAGCCTCACTTTCTAAGAAATAATGAACTTTGTTTCTTAGACAGTAGTCAGTAAAGGGGTTTGAGTTAAGAGAGAATGGCATGACCGGGGGGAATTTATATAACAGTGATCTGTGGGATGGATTAAAGAGAGGAAGAGGCTGGAGTTGGTTTCCATTTAGGAGTTTATTGATGTGGTCTAGCCCAGTGCTTCTCAAACTTCAGTGAGCAGAAAAATGACCTGGGTATCTGAGTCCGTAAGTCTAGGGAAAGGCCTGAGCTTCTGCATTTCTAACATGAGCCAAGGTAATGTAGATGCTGCTAGTAGAGGACCAAACTTTGAGTAGCAAGGGTGTAGGGAGAAGTAATAAAGACCAAATTATGGTAGTGACAGTAAGAATAGTATGGAAAGAACCTATGTGAAAAAAAGAAGAGTTCAGCCAGGATTAACTGGGTATGAGGAGGCAAAGGATGGGCCCAAACATGACTGATTTTGAGTTTGATTACCCAAACCCATTGCCAATGAGGGGATATCGACTCATATTGACCCTATAGGACAGAGTAGAACAGCCCCATAGGGTTTCCAAGACTGTAATGTTTTTATGAAAGCAAACTGCCACACGTTGCTCATGGGGAGTGGCTGGTAGATTAGAACTGCCAACCTTTCAGTTAGCAGCTGAGTGCTTAACTACTGCACCACCAGAGCTCTTTTTGAGCTTGATTAACCAGGAGAATTATAGCTCTAGTAACAGAAATAGGAGAAGAAGTTGGATTGGAGAGCAAGAGTCCTGTTTCAGACATGTTGAGCTCCTAGTTCAGGTGGGATATCCAAAGGGAAATGAGCGGCAGGCAACGGAAAAGGAGATTAGTGCTCATGAGGGACATATGAGCTGGAGAGTTTATAGTTAAGGACAAGAGACTGGATAACCAAAAAAGCAAACATACAAAGAGAAGAAAATTGATGACAGAACTTTCCCTTCAGGGAATGAGAAGAGGAACACGACAGCAGAAGACAAATTGAAGGTGCTTTTAGGAATGGAGACAGTTTAGAAAAATATTTTGCCATGGAAGTCAAAGGAAGAGACCATTTCAATAAAGCATGATCGAGAGTATCACTAGCATCTGGAATACAATTGAAAATCACAGTCTTGACTGCAAGGAATTTACAGATTTATGAGGGGTGTACTAATAAGTAGATGAAGTTATTAGGGGTTATCATGGATTGAATTGTGTCCCCCAAAAATATCTGTCAACTTGGCTAGGCCATGATTCCCAGTATTGTGTGATTTTGTCATCTGATGTGATTTTCCTATGCGTTGTAAATCCTACCTCTATGATGTTAATGAGGCAGGGTTAGAGGCAGTTATGTTAATGAGGAAGGACTCAATCTACGAGATTAGGTTGTGTCATAAATCAATCTCTTTTGAGATATAAAAGAGAGAAGCAAGCAGAGAGACGGGGGAACTTCATACCACTAAGAAAGCAACACCGGGAGCAGAGTGCATCCTTTGGACCCGAGATTCTTGCACTGAGAAGTTCCTAGATCAGGGGAAGATTGATGACAAGGACCTTCCCTCAGAACTGACATAAGAAGAAAGCCTTCCCCTGGAGCTGGCACCCTGAATTTGGACTTCTACCCTCCTAAACTGTGAGAGAATAAATTTCTCTTTGTTAAAGCCATCCACTTGTGATATTTCTGTTATAGCAGCACTAGATAACTAAGACAGGGGTATATGGAAGCACAAAGAAAGAAGTTATGCAATCTAAACAGGTAGGAGTAGGGATGATGTTCCCCAGAGTGGAAGCAGCAGCAAAAATGCTGGGATGCCAGGGAGGATGTGGTGTATTCCAAGAAGTGGAAGTAATTTAGTAAGACTAGATTTTAGAATAGAAGCTCTTGGTGACACAGTGGTTAAGCTCTTGGCTGCTAACTGAAAGGTCAATGGTTTCAACCCATCAACCGCTCCACAGGAGAAAGATATAGCAGTCGGCTTCCATAAAGATTACAGCCTTGGAAACCCTATAGGGCAGTTCTACTCTAGCAAGTTCTACTCACTATGAGTCGGAATTGACTCGATGGCAGTGAGTTTGGAATTCAGAAAAACAGAGTTGTCAGTGGTTAGAGATGAGGCTCTAGAGGAAGTAGAAAACAGAGCATGGAGGGAGAAGGGCCCAGCTATTTGATATGAGGAGCCATTAAGTGGTTTTAATTAAGGAGGTGACAAATTTGGATTTTCTTTTTTAAGGCTTACTCTGGTGACAGAGTGGTGAATAGACTGGAAGAAGGGCAATACTTCTTCCTGAAATGTTTATTCTCCTGACCCCACACTCTCATTTTTTCCTACCAACCTCCATACTTCCATAGTAGACTTTATATCCTCTACTCATTCCCTAAATATTGGTATCTGTTAGGGTTCCAGTCTTGACAGTAAGGCTAATCTGGAGAACAGTGGTACAAATGTGAGACAATGGTGAGAAAAGTGGAGAGCTAAATGATCAATTACTTAGCCAGAATTGATGGGAGAAGGAAGACGCAAGAGTGAAATGATTTTTCTGGCTTTGAGTATTAAGATGGATGATAGTACAATTCACTGAGATAGAAAAACAGGAGGAAAAATGGATTTTGGAGGGATATGCCGTAGTGAGTTAAGTTTTAAACATGTTGAGTTTGAGGTGATTATGGGATGTCCAGGTGACCTTCAGATTATATGGGCCTAAAATTCAGGAAAGAGATCAGAGATGGAGATAAAGATTTTGAAATCATCAGAACACAATTGTTAATTGAAGTGGACATGATGGCTCAGGGAGACTATATAGAGTGATAAGAGAAGGTCAAGGCTAGAACTCTGAGGAATATCAATATGTTAAACATTGGTAGAGGAAGTGGAACCTATAAAAAGAACAGGGAGTAGGAGAAAAAATTGGAGATTGTACCAAGGGGGGAGAGAGCTTCAGGAAGGGAGATATGATCAATAATGCCAAATGCTGTAAAGGTAAGGAAAGAGAAGTATCCATAGGATTTCATGGCAAAGGCATTGGTGACCACATTTGGAATAAAGTGATCATCACAGAAGCCATTTTATGGTGGGATGAATTTCACATTTCAGAGGACGAACAGTTCTGTATGATGACAAGATCCAGTGTGTGACCATGAGAGTGAGTGGCTAAAGTGGGTTAGAGTAGATCATTAGAGCGAGGAGAGCTCCCGAAGTTGGTCTCATGGGCACTGATGTTATGGAGCAACAGCTGTGAAGCAGGAGCCAAAATCTTCAGTGAATGATGGAGAGCATTTGGGAGTTCAGTGGATGACAGTAAAAACAGGGTAGAGGAACATGTAGCTGGATGGCATGAAAGTCCAAGGGACAGAGATTTTTACTGAAGAGTGGAGAAGTAATGGTTTTGAAGTGGTATTAGGGAGTGAGGAGGCAGATGACCCCACTTTTCAATGACTTAAAAGTGTGAGAAAGTTGGAGAAAAACTAGCATTTACTTAACAGTGCTACAGGGAAGCAGTGAATTCAGGATCTCATTTAAGCAAAGGAGCCAGAAGGAAAGTCACTGGAGAGGTTAGGTTGTAGGGAATTTTTTAACCATGATCGAGGAGTGGAGAGTGAACATCAAAAAAGTTTGGGAGACAGAGGGACAATGGATACTGGGTTAAGTGAGAGTAAGCACAGAGCAGTATAGAAATGAGTTTATGGGGGAAAAAGTTTCATCAGAGAGGCTTGTGTTTTGATTAGTGACTGTGGTGGTTAAGATTGTGTGTCACTTTGGCTGGGCCATGATTCTCCGTGTTTTAATGTAATCACTCCCATGATTGAATATACTGTGAGTAGCCAATCGGATGAAAGGGAGTCTCCTTGGGGGT